GAGAGAGAGAGAGAGAATTGGAAAGAAGGGTAAAATCGATGAACGGTGGATGAAGAGGAATGAGGAAGAAATTGCGCGAAGAGAAAAATTAGTTGATAGCTACTAGTTTTTATTACCAGGTCAGTCGATGTACTGACCAATCGCCCTTAGCCGGTTTGGCCATCGTTATCGCACAGGGGATCTCTTCGGCGGTTAGGCCAGCAACATTAATGAAATTTACTTCCTAAGAGAAAATTATAGCCGCACCGTCGCCGTCGTCATCGTCTCACTAAACAAGCGAAAGAGACGGAGATGGAGAAGAGCGCGAAACAATACGATCGACAAAGAGGAACCGAACAGAGAGAGAACGCAATAATTTCCACCCAATTACCGACGATCCTAACGGTTTGTTTGCTCACCCAAGACCCACCCGGCTTACGTTATAATCATCCTAGGATAATTGATATCCAATTTCGTCTCGATGTGTCTGGACATACCCCTTCGGCGTATTCCGAATTATCTTGGTGCTCTTATTGATCGTGATATAATCTCAATATCAGTCGTTACAATCGCGATTTTTACTAAAGAAAAGTGGTTATGTGTATATACGCGACAATATGTTTAAAACTGTTTGTAAAGCGTGATCGTCTACGATGACGATAGTTTATTATAAATGTTGTATATGCAGAATTATTATAAATATTGAATTATAAAACTACCTTACGCACGCTTTTATTTCTACATTTAAGAATTATGGATTAAATAAATCTTGGATCGTTTACTTCGTGGGACAAAAATTCGAAACGATATCCCCGAGTATTCTTGAAGCGTCCCGATTGAACACTTTAACAAGATAAGTTGGATAATAATGCGGGGCGATGAAGTGCAAACAGCGGTAATGTGCATGGATGTAAGTATATGTTTATGATATGCACTTCGTATTCACTTTATCTTTGGCGTGGGTTGCTTTGTTGTCGTGCAACTCGGTTGGCAAAACCGGTTATACCCCCATTGAACCCATCGAGAAGTTTATATATGATTAATTCTATCACGACGGCTGCTGTATTTCGAGCACAGTTGCGTATTAATTATTGCAGATGCTGCAACAATTTACTTAACACGATTACGTACAAATAATTATCAAATCGAATCTTATATTTTTAACTTATTACTTCTATCGCCAGTTTGATATAACGCAGCGTTAGAAGAGATGTTAAGAGAGATAAGCAACAACTTCACTTACGGTTTAAGTTTAATCGATGTAAGCTCTCTCGAGCGCATTCACACTCGAGCATTCAATATATCTTGCATTTCAGATAATAAGATCTTTTTATTACAAATTGATTTATGACTAAATTTATGACTTATAAAGCAATTTATGAAGCGGAGGAACGATACAAATGGTCGATCTGGTGCGTCCTTGTAAAGTGTAGCAATTATAGTACTTTTCTTCCTCGGAATAATTGTAAATTAGATTGTTGGCCTTTGAAGGCAATTTTTCTATTTTATACTATTATATCTTTAGAAATTCGACAGAATAATATTTCTTTTAAAAATTCACATAGGATTAATCGAACGTTCCAAAAAATCTTACGATGCAGCGTTATTTATATAGTACACGAGATAGCAATCGGACTCTTACATCTCGACAGCAAAATATACGATCATAACCGTAGTAGGAAGAACTGGTTGGCTACAAAAGTTGGCGCAGGTTGCTCGCCGCACATATTATAAATCTTTTAGAACGAAATATGTAGTAGAGACTTCAAAGACTTAATTCACGATGCGTATATTATAACTTTACGGACAGCAATACGTGCATAAATTGTGAAAAGTGCTAGAGAGTAGCAGAAACCAATTATGCACGTAGTAAAATTATTCTTGCAATAATTATGTATCGGTCTTCGTAGTTATACGTATTGTGCATAACTTATGTGAAAACGATGGCAAGGGAGAAATGGCAAAGCGAAGCTCAATTTCCTATTGCAGAGACTTAAAATGCAAAACCTAATGTAAAATGACAATCTAACGTTTCGACGAATCGGTAATACGATCACACTTCACAAGGAGAATCAGGGGAGGAACGGGGGGGGGTCCCATCGACACAGCGGTCCCACCTTCTCTGTTGTATATGTGCCTGAATGCCCTGAAAGGAGTACGGAGCTCTTCAAATCCGAATGAAACCTCGAGCATGGATCTATATTGAGGATCTACATCGAGTTGCATAACAATGCCGAGCGATGTTGCCTTCATGCATAAGTATCTATGCAAACCGAATAGCGATCCCGAAGAGGCACGACGCGCGGCGAGATAATATTTTCATATGAATACAAATGGCCCTCTCTTTCTCTCTCTTCCTCTTTCGTGCTGCGCCGAGAAACAGATCTGTCCTTCTTCTCGCCTACTTGTACGTATCAGCAGAGAGTCGCGAATGCTTTTTCCCGTAACGGATGGCTCGACTGTTTCCTTTAAGGAGTTGCCCGTAGTCATTTTATTTAGCCGCAAAACGCTAAGAGGAAGAGTTCCTGCGGCAACGCGAATAATGTTCACGTTTTAGTACTTAGGCGAGAGGCGTCTGATATTTTCAGGTTGATAAGCAGGCTGATAGCAGAACGATGAGATTGAAGTGAATAAAAATTTCTTCTTATATACAAAATATTCTAAAATTTCCTGATGAAAAATCTAGGGATTACTATATGTTTATGTTTGTAATATTATTATCAAAATTCCGATAAATTTTGCATTTAACAAATTTTAAGGATTTTAATAATGTAACTATTTCTTTAAATTAATATTTTGGGAATTTTACTTTACTTATCAATTAATCTATATTTCTTAATTTATATCTTTTAGTTTTAGTTCCTATGCATAAATGAACATTTTTTATTCTAATTATTTCTACTATAGATAATATGATTTAGTAATTCTTAAAAAAAAGAAAAAGAGTCATCTAACATATTTCTTATATAACTCACATGACATAATATAACATATTATATTTCATTTCTCGCATTTATTTTCACATATGCCCCTCCCTTATCCCTTACCATTATTTGTCTCAACTTTTAATGATAATCATTGATTGCCGGAATTACATATTAAAAAGATATTTGATCGTTGTTTGTGACTGAACTCATACTGCGCAAAATGCTAATTGTCTTTTGTAGCCATGCCGTGGATTTTTGTAATTATTGGTCGCGGTGCTGTTTACAATAAGCGAATCATAATTACGCTGAAGTAAGCAGCACACAGATAATTGCATTTATTCATATATGTTTTAAATTTTATATAATCTTTTATCTTTATAAATATTGTTTTACGTAAATAAAATCTATATGTACTTTCCAGAAATGAGAATATGGTTACTTGCTTGCGTATGCATGTTTAATTTGTCACGATTGTATCTCGCTGGTAAATAAGTAAACTTAATTTTAATGCTCAACAGATTTAAGAAAAGTAGAATTTTAAATAAAATTTAAATATTGTATTTATTTATAGTTATTTTTTTTGAATCAAGATTATAGTTATTTTTTTTGAATCAAGATTTTTTTTATATTAGAATGTTATTTAAATTATGCATAAATATATAAATATATCTATTTATTTTATATACAAAAATATTGATAACGCTAATATACATATTTGCAGAGCATATACATATTATATCTTTGCCATATACAAAGATATATTACAGCATATTATATCTTTACTTGCATTTTTTTTTATTTTAAGAGTGATAAGTCAACAATTTTGTTTATTATGAAGTAGTGGATCAGTAGCCAAGTAAGACTGGCAATAGAGTGAGTCGTAACTCTTTTCGGCACTTTATTTCTTGCGCGCCAATGTACGAAATTGAAAATTATATTTGATGCTTTGCGGCCAGTGTAGATAACGAAGGTAAGAGGCATCTCTTTCCTCTGGTAGACCCATCGTCTGGTAGATGGAATGTTGAATATACGGAGGTACGCGAGCCAGCAATGATAATTTCGAGAAACTTACAATATAAGAGATGCAGGAGTAGAGGCAGGGTGTAAATAAATATTCTCCGGCACGTATAACGAGATGTAAACGAAGACCGAAGTAAAGGATACCGAGTATCTGATGAATAAATTCCAAGGCAAGTGTCACAAATGTGCTAGATATTTAAGTAGTATTAATTAGACGTATATATATATGTCACAAATAAAGAAATTTCACTTAAATATGCCGATTCTAATTGAAGATGATGCTATTGCATATCGTTACATTTTCTGTTCGGATATTCTCGATTATTTTTCCATAATGTTCCAAAATACTAATTTTGGTTTGCCTCACTGTGGCTTTTCTAATGTTTAAATATATTTCTCTAAACAATATATTTAATATAAAATATATAAAAATATTTCGTAATTAAATGCTATAACAAACAACAAATATTGCAAAAGATTTCTAAAATATCGTAATAAATCACTTAAATCACGTAAATCAATTTTTTATTAGTATCAACCATTTTATGCTCTACTTTGTTCATATACTTTTTTTAAAGCAGTCTCAAGAATACTGTTCGCGTGGAAAGCATATTTTATTACCGTATATGATGCCAGTGGCGACGTAAGACCATTAACGTGCGCGCAGTCTGCGTTCTTCTCTACTACTTGTTTTTCGACATGCCGCTATTCTACCGCCGATTTCTTGTGTGGTCGGGGTAGAAACCAGAAGACATTAGTGCACTAACTAATTGCTATCAGGTATTTCCCTACATAGTTAACCGAACATTTAAAAAATTCATGGAAATCATAAGTATCATCATCATTACTTACGTGACTGAATTTCTTTTTTATGGATCGTCATACGATTATCGACATTCACGAAACTCACCTGCTGAATCTACATATTTACATACGTAATCTAAGCTTTTTTTTAAATCCACATGTTAATTGAAATTGATGTTTATACAATACTATTTTGCAATTTGTTTATTTATAGTTCTAAAGCTGAAATATTATAAGTTTTTCAGTCATTAAAGGGATTTGTGTCTGCTTTGAATCTATTTTTTTAATTAATGAATTTTTTAATCAATTTTATAATACGAAAAGAAAATAATTTTTCTAATAAAATAATATTCTTTATTATTTTTTTTATTCTTTTATATTTTAACAAACATTTGATCGATATAAATTTGTTTCTTGCATATATCCAATTTAATAAATAATAAATTTTAATTTATTAAAATTTTTTATTACTCATAATAATTACAATATTGAAAGTATTTATATAATATTGAAAATAGTTTTACTTTTATTTTGCTTAATTTGGTTACTACTAATGGATAATAAAAAATAATTTAATTGAAAAAAGAAAGTAGTAGAAATGCTTTCAAATAATGCAGAATGCTTTCTATATTTGTACATCGTTAGCAGATGGCAAATTTTTTAAATATTTCACTTTGTTACGCTTATGAAAAGAGATGCAGCTTATTATTAATACGCGTGAAACTTAAAGCGTGACGGAAGCCATTGGTAAGAGGATGAAATACAATTCCTTCGTGCACAAGTGTTGCAAGTTTAAAATTACCGATTAAATATTTTCTCGAAGAATTAACGAATAACATAATATTAACCCTACTAAGTCGAGTGACAAGGTCGAAGATTCTGTGAAAGTGACGTTAGGCCAGATATACATTTTTGTTGATAATATTGACGGATAAAACTGAAAGACGGCCTCGTAAATCTTTTCGCAAGAGGATCGAAGTAATAACAGCGGCCTAAACTTCATGAATCCTTTTATTAATCTGCATCGCGGAATTGGATTTAAAATCTCGAACCGCCAGCGTCAAAGCCCCTTCTCTCTTCAAGATTTTCTTTCCCTCGTCCTTATTCGACTAGAGCGAGGATCAAATTTTTGAGACTCAGCGTACTTTGGATATAATATATGTGATATTAATATGTTCAATTTTCGATATTTTGGATATTTGGATTAATATGTAATGCTGTAATATACTTTACTCTGTTTTGTGATTAAAATCTATTTGATAGAGTTAATCGTTACAATTTCATTTTAAACATTATGTTCTTGCGAGATAATATAATATATATACGTATAATAATTATGTTTATTATAAAGTTTAGACATTAAATAAAACTATTTGTTAGATATTTATTTGTATTAATTTTGTATAATTAAATGTATAATTAAATGTATAAATAGTTATTATAATAAGTATATAAATAGGTATTATACAAATTTATAAAATTGTTTCTCTTTTATCTGCTCAAATATAATAAATAAAATAAATAAAATATTTAATATAATTTTTAATTGTTATCTAAATTATTGATTAAAATTGTTCAATATATTTTAAATAATTAAAATTTTTAAATTTTTGTATGTTTAATATGTATTTAACAGATAAATATATTTTGTTATTTACAAGATTTGTATGATGATTGTGTGATTGAATCGGATCAATGAACGGAATAAACGCTATGAAATATTAAAATGGTGACAGCAAAATATTTATCCCATCATTCTAAATCTTAGTAAATGTCTTCCGTCATTGTTCCGCACGATGGATACCATTGACGATTTCCTACTGTTGTAAAACTGACTTCAACCGCGGATTAATGTTCGCGTCTTCCTTCTCCTGCAACTTTCCTATAACGAGAGAATTTTCTGCATTCTTACCGTATCTTTACTCTTTCTCCCTCTCCCTCTCTTTCCTCGTCGTATAAAAACCATACGGTCTGGCGAGCATGTCTGGTGGGCAGCGGACAGGCGCCAGCGTCCACCCTTTTACACAGTCCCGGCTGATGTCCCGTAGTCTTGGCCCGTTCCACCCCCTTCCTTTTCTCCACGGTCGTTAGAGCGAAAACGTTCTCCATTAACGCCTCCTTTTTTCTCCTTTTGTCAGCTGGCAGACGCGTCCGCGCCAAAGCGATATTAAAAACTCCCGCGCGCTGCAATAAAGCTAACTGCTTCTCGCATGCATAGGTCCCAGTGCCGTTATGGGTTGCCGTTTCCGTTCTTCTCTTTTGGACTCCTTAATACAAATGGATCCGGTACGAGATTTCTAAGTTCCGGAGCGGTGCCGAGAATTAAGGTCGATGGCCGCACTTTGACGCACGCTTACCTTCTAATCTCTTTCATGTTTCATGTACTATAATTGTAATTATAATTGTATTAAATTTTATTACTTTCGCAAATGTGAGACAAGATTGAATAAAATGTACTGAAATTAATTATACTTTAAATATTTAATAATTTAATTTTTCCTTTTATCAATTAAAAAGAATTAAAAACTGTATGTAAAAAAATGTTAGTCATAATTATATTACAGTTATAAAACATATCATAATTTGTTATACGTGCATATATTTATATTTTACAAGTAGAAAAATTGCCATAGCAGAATTTTATTTCAAATTCTTCTTTCTCTATATTCATATAGAAAAGTTATCTTTTTTTCACACAATATAACTTTTAAATTTTAAATTTGGTATAAAGTAATACTGATTAGGAGATTAAATCAAAATAAAGAAAAAGTTTTGAGCCATTTGTTAATATGCTATTATAAAAGAAAATGTACACGAGAAATAATCATGTCTATCCAAATCGTCGTCTTTTACAGACGATTTATTGTCGTTCGTCGAATCAGCATACCCGCGTGCTCCGAGAAAGGAACATTCCATTGTCTGGCATATAAAGAGGAATCGAAGAAGAGAGATAGCGATGAAAGAAATTATTTTCTCCGAGCGAAAAGCGGAAGGAGAAGCGCACGAGGCTGAGGGAGAGAGTGGCAAAGTCGCGCCTCGAAGATGAGAAGAAACGCGCGGAGGAGGACGCGGAGGTGAAGGAAAACGGTAGATGAATGAGGAGGAGGCTACTTTTGCCCGACGGAAGAACCGCGTCGCGAAGTGGAGTGCCGGATATAGAGTGACGGAAAGGCAAGAACTCTATTGCTTCGCTATAGAGCTGAAAGGAGAGGAGGGAGGAGGGGAGGGGGGAGGGGGAGGGGGGACTCCCGAGCTGGCAGCATTCGAGCTTTGATATCCAGCCGGCACAAAGAGTTGTCGTCGGCGTTTTGTGTGTAATGTAATTGCGTGGATAGGTACATACTTATCTACATAGATGCACCATCCGCCTTTTTACTTATTCGCACCGCCAGGAAGTCGACGTGCTTTACGCACCTAGCCTATAACGCTCGGGCATAAGGGCTTTCGAAATAAAGGAAGATTCCTCCATCTGTCCTCCGTGAATTGGCGTTACGAGCGAAAATTGTACCTTTCGTCGATCCATGTGTCTCTTTGTTGCGCGCGACAAATAAAACAATATGGCCAGGCAAGTGCTCTTACACGCTGTCTGGAATTTTAATGAAAGTGCTTGGAAAAAGTGACTCTGTGAATTACGAAATTTCTCGCTCGTTTTCCGCGAATTGCCGAGATTTGAACCATGCAATCATTTCCATATTAATCTAACGAATCAGTAGCACATTTTTTAGCATTTCGCGCGTTCATAAAAATATTATCAAGAAGCTTCGAGATATTCTTTTTAATTAATAGATTTAATAACAAGAAAGATGACTAATATTAATTAATAAGAGATATATGTATATATATATATATATATATATATATATATATCTTATTAATTTATGTGTGCATCTTATGTGTTGAAACGTCATTTAAAATCGAGATTTTATTTCTTTGAATCGAACGTAACCAGTGTAGGCGAGCGCGTTTTTTATACATTGGTATATACCAATCACGTACCGAAAGCCTTATATATTTGTCGCCACTGTGTCGTAGATTGAGCCCCATGTATTTAAATACATCGAAAGAGATGGAAATGTATTTAGACGACAGCTCTTCTGAAAGGAAAATAATTTGACATATTTTAAAAGTTGGAATATCACTCAAACTCCTAAAGCCCCCCACCCCCTCCCTCAGCTTCCTTGCTTTCTGAGGCTCAGTTGAAAGAAGAAGGAAAGCATAGAGAATGTCGGAGGGGAATGATGCGGTTGTGCGCCTGGGAGTGCGAAGTAATTTTAAAATGATTTTTACCGACAGAAGTTTACATTAATTGCAGGTTTACAAACAAAACTTTGTTTTTGTAATTTTCTCCTCTTTATGGTAAAACTATTGGCTAAAGAACAATGTATCAATAAAATGCTATGCTATGCAATTGGAAATGTATTTTATTAGTTAAATAAAAATAGCATTATTATTTTTTAAAATAAAATTTTAAAATAAAATGTATATTTGTCTGTGTATTTATTGAGTGTGTATAATCTGTTGAGTACTTTACTATAAAATTATTTAAAATTTTTTTAGATTTTTTTTTCTAATCTGATAATATTTTTTATACTTATCGAGATATGTATTTAATTTGA